AATTCAACTCTGGGTGAAATTCCAGTTCTTTGGGGAAACAAGGAGTTTTTCAAATCAAAGGCAGAAGCTTAATGGAGTCAAGCCACGTTTTTGTTTGTGGTACGAATCAAAAATAGTTTTGTTTTTTTTTAAAAGAATATTCTCCTTTCTTGACTTGGGGTCAAGCCACGTTTTTGTTTGTGGTACAAATCAAAAATAGTTTTGGGTTTTTTTAAAAGAATATTCTCCTTTCTTGACTTTTGACTTAATGAAACACACTTGTTTTTAGGCATTGCAAACTGAGATGGCCTTTGGGGACTCATGCCGTGGCCTTCATCAATGTATGTAAATGCTTGACACCTCACTCTGTGCCTGCCCAGAGGGGCGGTTCTGGGGTAACTGCCCCCACCTCCAGGACAGACCTCTAAGATGGTGCTTGCAGGGCTCAGTGAGACCCCCAGCTCTTTCCAGAAGCCCAGAACAAGTGAATCAGAGAGACCTAACATTTACATACTTAAATTAGTTGCTTTGAATCCCAGCCCCAGGGAGAAGAAGAAAAACAACCCATAAATAGGGTGGCAAAACTATGAAAAAAACCACCTACGAGATGGAAACTTGATGGAAGCTGGCACATTTCCATAAAACTTCCATGTCTGGTGCACTAATGAATATTCTGAGTTATGCAAGCAGAAGGAACAACAATAAAATGCTTTCCTGGGAAAACCTGGACCGTTTCCAACTTGGAGAGCTGGACTAAGCCCACGAGAGGGAGCTGGTGCCTCTGTGGAGTGGCCACAAAATCTTGTCTGCCTGCAGAACACCGCCTGCTCCTGGAGCAATTTCCAGGGGACAAAACAAAACAAAACAAAACAAAACAAAACAAAACAAAACAAAACAAAACAAAACAAAACAAAACAAAACAAACCAAAACAAAACAAAACAAAAACAACCCCAACCCAGCAGCTGAGATCACAGAATCGTAGAATCATAGAATGGCCTAAGCTGGAAGGGACCTTAGAGATCATTTTAATCCAGAGATGAGATGGTTTGGCTGGAAGCAGCCCAGGGAAGGGTCGCTGTGGGATCAGCGTTGCTGATGCCTCAGTGAGCTCTGCTGAGGGCAACGGGCTCTGGCCAACTTCTAGAGTCTGCTTGCTCCCAAGCCAGGGATTTGCCTTGGTTTGGCTGTGCAGGATCATTCTGAGTGCATCTGTGTTGAGGTTTGGGCCCCTTGTTTCAAGGAGGACGTTGAGGTGCTGGAAGGTGTCCAAAGAAGGGCAACGAAGCTGGTGATGGGACTTGAGAACAAGTCTCATGACTGAGGGAACTGGGGTTGTTTAGCCTGGAGAAAAGGAAACTCAGAGGAGATCTTATTGCTCTTTACAACTCCCTGAAAGGTGTAGTGAGATGGGGATTCTTCTCCCATGTTGCAAGTTCCACCAGGAGAGGTTTAGATCGGACATTAGGAAAAAATTCTTCACCAAAATGGTTGTCAAGCACTGGGACAGGCTGGCCAGGGATGTGGTGGAGTCACCACCCCTGGAGGTGCTCAGGGACATGGTTTAGTGGTCGACCCGGCAGTGCTGGGTTAATGGTTGAACTTGATGATCTTAAAGGTCTTTTCCAACCTAAATAGTTCTATGATTCTATCTCTTAGCAGCTCTTGGGACACCTGTCCTAGAAGAGGGAGAATTTGCATCTGAGCCCTAAAGCTGGTACCAAACCAGTCAAGGATTCAATTCAGAGTCATGGCCTGCTTGGAAGTGGGATGTAATCCTCCGTCTCTCCCTTTCCTACAGCGATGGTGCTCTTAGAAGTCCACAAAATTGCTGGACTGGTGTTGGGATGGGCCTGGGCAGCATGAAGGGAACCTTCTTTTCTTGGCACCTGTGATGTCCTGGGGAGTAAAGAGGGGATCAAATCGGATGGTGCTGTGTCTTTCTGTCCCATTATGGGTGACTTTGCCCCCTCCTTCTGATTTTCCTACACATCCTCTCTTTGCAATGACTCCTTGAACACATTCCTGATCCTGTTAGAGCCTAAACTCTCCTAACTCCCTCCATTCCTCTCA